ATGAGCTGAGGAACAGTTATCTCCACTAGGAAAAAAGCTCATAGTTCAATCCCTTCATTAAGAGTTGCACTGCCATGCGTTCTCTGTGTAAAATTTTAATTGAAGCTAACGGGCTTTCCCCACATGGAATGCTCGCAGACAACTGATCTAAAACTGGTGATCCATACCTAAAATCAAAATAATATCTACTCAACTATTCTCTTTGCTTATATGTTGTTTAATATTAATTGATTCTATACGCAGGAGACTTTCAGCCCAGTTCTTGGTCTGCAGTGTTTGAGAGGTTTTTTTTAAGCTTTGCAACGTGAATTCGATGTACTTCTAGAATCCCACTGCAAAGAACTACTATTTATCTCACAGATATTCCTCACATACTTACAGTTTCAGGATTATTTTCAAAGATTTCTCTGGCTTCTTCCTTGTTGCATAATTCTTCAACACACTCTCTTTCTAAATTTCCCTTCTTACTTTCTTCCATAAAAGAATTTGCTCGACGTTTCCTCACCAGGAACTCAGAGGCATACTGGTGGGATAAAACTTGGTAGAAACAAAGGAGCTCTGTTATTTATTTTTAACTGCTGAAATATGAGATAAACATGAGATTCCCTTACAAAAGTCTGAATTAAGAGATTACTCATGAAGTGGCTGTTTCCTACGATTTAGGCACAAACATTCCAGGATTCTGTTCATGGTACATGTCCTAGCTGTTTCTGACCAAAAAAATTCCAAGTCACCACAAAAAACTTATGCAATGCTGTGTGTATGAAGCACAACTTAAGTGTTATATTCAGTCTTTTTTTTAAGCTATGATGTTGTAAATGAGATATGTAAATGTATGTAAATGACTGATTAATGGAAAAATGCTCTCAAGACTTTTCTATTACCTGTTTCCTTGACCTAGAAGTAAATATTCTGATCCTATATGTATGATCAAAAATGTGTCTTACAGAAATCAGGCTACCTGTTACATGTAATTAACACAAAGTCATTTTAGTTTTTCAGAATCACAAAGAATATGACAAAGTAAAAGATAACGACATTCAAAAAAATATCAAGGCTAACAACCTGAAACTACATTCACATTTGACACAGGTAAAACAGAATCCTACTTAACTTTTTTATTTCAAATTGATCATGTTGTGAGTCATTCCTAATTTTCACATACCTTATTGTTGCTATTTTATTGACACTTAGACAATTGGCAAAGAAATGAGTTGTGAAATTGTATTACAATAAAAAGACATCCATTTGGTCCAGTGTTCTTTGCAGAGCGCACAATATTATGGGGAAAAAGACTAAATTAGACTGCCTCATTGATTTTATCTTTGGACATACCTTGTGATTAAGATAAAAATGGATGAGCATAATAGCAAGAACTCCAGCTCACAGGGTTAAAGAGCATGGCTGACAGATGCTAACTAGACAGCATGGCACTTCCGCACCTTCCCTTCTTTTACCAGCTTTTACACAAGCTTTTACACAAGTCTGACTAGCATAACTGTCAGAGGGCACCTACTGTGCAAACCAGATACAGTGTACTTAAATATTCATCACTAGTCTGTGAAGATCAATTTAAACAGACATAGTCAATTCAGTGTTGTTTATGAGCTTATAATACCTCAAGCACAGAGCACTTTTGTAGTCAACTGTCAGAGGATGGCCTCCCAAAGCACTAAGAGAGGAAAAACTTAAAAGGCTTTTTAGGAAGAATAGCTAATGATACACAGAACTTGAAGACAGAATGATTTTCAAGTGACAGATCTAACTTAAAGCCATAGCATCCTGAACACAAAGCTCTCAATCAAATGATGGCAAACACAGCTGAAGCACTCTGGAGAACTTCAACATGGACAGTAACCTGATGAAACCTTTATGTTATAGCATCCTAAATGTATTTGATATGGAATAAGACTGTAGCCTCAAATTGATTTCTTTGGTGTATTTGATAAGACTAATCCTCACAGTATGGTATGTGGGAACTGCTAAATCACGGCCTGAACCTCTGATTGATCGTCTGAGGCAAGCATTGAGTCAGCCCAGGGAGCACAGGTGAAGGCAATTCAGCTGGGTGACTGGAAGGGGTGGAGCCTGGCTGCACCTCTCAGACCTCATTTAAGGGCTGACTGTGAGAGGGAGGGTTCTTTTTCTAGAGATTGCTCCCTTTGAAGTTTTCTTGCAAGCCTAGGACATGGGTGAACATTTCATTTATTTTCAATTATCCCTTTCTACTGTGATAAACTTTCTAGTTATGTGATTTGTAGATGCCAGCCTAGTCACACCGCTGTATATTTGTTGTTTATACAGTATGGCAATAGGTAAAACTTTCTGAGAAGGCAGATAGATCTACTGCAGCATACCTCTAAAGCTCAGAAGCACATCCTTGTCTCAGAAAGCAACTAGCAAGTTGCTCAGAAATGCAAGGAGGAGAGGACGGCTTATGCCCTGAGTATTTGAGTAGGGATCAGCCTGGTTTTGGAGGATTCATTTCTTCTTACACACATTATTTATGAGTTAGTCTTATTGGAGACTGGAAAGATCTCTGTAAGGTGGAGACTGATCCACAACAGTAATGAGGCCAGCACTTCAGTACAAAGCTCTACTACGTGTGATTATGCTGATAGAAAAGAGCTTTCATTGGTATATGCTACCATGAAAAACTAAGTGTGCAAGCAGAAAAACTCTTGCCAATTTTGTTTATTGTTAGCACCAGTGTAAGCTTGCTGACACAGCTCTGGGGCAGAGGCTCTGTGGTGAAGATGAGGCCTAATTCATTGCTGACTTTAAATGTTCTTGTTTCGACCATCATTCTCATTTCAACACACGTTTTCAATAAATAATGTGCAATAAAATTACAAGTACAGTGCTTTGGAGAACATGACCCCAGATATGACCCCTACCTGCTTTGAATACAGTGGGGTAGTGGAAATGGGCATATTATTTTACAATAAGTAGTTCAGCCTTCATTTGTACTTCTCTAAGCTTTTAAGTTTAATTAAGATGCCTTAGTGCAAATTTCTTATTGAAAATATTTCAATTCACATGTACAGACTTAGTAGTGTATTTACTTAACTGTTTTTTCCTTACAAGGATCATGACAGGATTTTTATTAGGAAAAAAAAAATCCTCCCTGTTGTTGCTTCCAGTTTGATTACAGGAAACTCCAGTGAACTCCTGACCCTGCCAAACCAGTAGTTAACCCTTAAGGAACTCAGTGTATTTTATTTAAATATCTTTGAAGCCTCTTGGAAATCCAGGATACAGTTTCAACCAACAGGCTCTGCACAGACACAGTGTAGTGTCTAGTTATCTAATGCATGTTTAAAAGCAATACTCTTGATAAAAAAATGAAAAAAATGAGGAGAGGATAAGATTGAGTGGTTACTTAAAGCTAATTTGTAGTGCACAGACAGCCGCAAACCTGCCTTAAGTGGGCTAGTTAAGCACAGCTTAGAGCTGCTTATCGAATACCCTGGTTGTGGAAAGCTGTTGTAGCCTGCTACTGCTATCAGAGGAACTTCACAGACCCAACACAATGAATAAAAACTAAAACTGATGACACTCTAGATAGTGGAGTTCCCTTATTTGTACAGTTGCTGTATTGCAGTCAGCTCCATAATTCCTAGTCTTTAGAAAAGCACATCAGTGACATAAGCTTTACGCAACCAACAAATTAAAGTCAACTAACTGCTAATGTTTGTCTGTTCTGTCTTGTCCGAAACTTATACATGCTTATGCTGCACAATAAGAACATTTATAAAGCTTGCAATTAGTCCACCACTGCTCACTGCTGTATGTTATTACAGATTAGCCATTTGTGTAAAAAAAGAACAGTGTATATATGAGGCCTGCTCCTATCTTATTCTGATATATCTTATTCTGGCCCACGATGTCAGAGGCAGATGTTGGTGCTATAGCAGTAGAGGCTGAACTTTCTCATCAGTATTACATCCTATATTGTTGCTGTGCAACAGATAGCAACAGATGTCCAGTCTGACAAAACGACATCTGACATGGAAGTGTGTATGAAGCAGAAGTGTGTGTCAATGAATTTCTCCCTGTGGGAAAAATGGCACCCACTAGCATTCATCAACACTTGCTAAGTGTTTAGGGAGACCAAACAGTGGATGTCAGGTAGTAGGTGGCACATTGCAGCAGTGGGCAAAGTGACAGTGGGTCACCTCCACTGGTGTGGATGTTTAAAAGTGGGGCATGCATGCTCTTGTTCATCACTGGTGAAAATGTATAGCTACGGTGGTGCCTGTGTTGAAAAAGAGTGTTTTGTAGCTGAGAATTTGTTCTGTCAAATAGCATTACTGTGTTCTTTGTTGTCATTTTAATACAAATAAGTAGGAAGCATTATTTTTGGAATAATATTTTGAAATAAAGTATATAAATTCAGTATCCGAAGAGAGGCTATAAGAAAGAAGGGAACAAACTCTTTATCAGGGTCTGCTGTGATGGCGCAAGGCTAAATGGTTTCAAACTAAGAGGGGAGATTTAGAGTGGCTATAAGGAAAAAGCGTTTCACAATAAGGGTGGTGAGGCACTGGAACAGGTTGCCTAAAGAGGTGGTGGATGTCCCATCCCTGGAGACACTCAAGGTGAGGTTGGGTGGAGCTCTGAGCACCCTGATCTAGCTGTGCATTAATTGCAAGGAAGTTGGGCTAGATGGCCTTTAAGGGTCCCTTCCAACTCAAATCATTCTACGAAAATGTTACAAAAGCATGAGAAAGGGAGATATCAAAAAATGCCTATTTTTAGGGCCAGTTCAAACTTAATTTCTAAAATGAATTTTCATCTCTCTATACTATTCTCCTCCTAGTCTGAATCCCTGCCATTCAAACAGAAGTTTGATTAGTAAACATTAGTTTTCTCTTCTGCCCGTTTAATCATTAGTAAGACACGTCAGAAGCACGCTTGCTTTGAGCCCTAATTCTAGTTGCCCCAGATACACAACCGCATCTAAGAGGTCCAAGCGCTAGGTGAGGAGAGGCTCTGAGCCCCAGCGCTGGATTCTGGTCACCATCCTGCGGCCCCGCAGCCCTCGCCGTATCCGTGGACCGCGACTCCGAGAGCACAGCTCCCATCCGGAGGGCCCCGTCGCTCGGGTCAGCCCTCTCCCCACCGCCCGCGCCCACCGCCCCACTCACAGGTCGCGGCCTCCGCCAGAGCGATGGCCACCGCCAGGCCGGCGAGTAGTGGCACGCACCGCCCGCCCTGCGGCCTCATCGCTGCCGGCGGGGAGCGGGCGCGGCGCCGGGACTGCGCGACGGCTCCTCTGCGGGGCGGCGGGGCCGGGCGAGCCTCTGGGAGCGGGAGGGAGGGGCGGCGGGGCGGGGGGGGGGGGGGGATGGGCCGAGGCCGACGACCGTGCCCGGCCCGAGCGTCAGCAGGGCGCCGGGGGCAGCGCCGCGGCGACGATCGCCGTCTGCGCCCGGCTCAGGGAGCTCGGCGAGCGGGCGGGCTCGGCGGGACGCATTGCCGGGAACTGCCGGGCGGCGAGGCTTCTTCTAGGTAGGAGCGGGCCGAGAGACGCCCGCGCAGAAGGGCACATCGCCACCCGGCCTGCTGCTTTCGGGTCCTCCCGCGTGGGCGACGAGGCGCAGAGAGCCGGCGGCACCTCTTTGCTGCTGATCGGTCGGCCCGCCGCGGGTGGTGCGGAGCGTCGCGCTCCTATTGGCCGACCGCCGGCCTGTCTCTCCTCCCCCGAGCGGCTCTGCCCTCCTCCGCGTTTCTCGGTCTGCGGGAATTTTGTCCTATATTCCCGTCCGTTGGCGGTAACCTGGGGTTACCGGCCTGGTTACGCGTCCCTACCGATGGGGGCTTCCACCAATAGGCGGCCTGGCGTTAGCGGCCGCTGGGCACGTGACCCCGGCGCGGCGGGGCGGACTGCAGCCGCCCCCGCAACAGCGCACCGTCCCGCCTGGCCCGCCTAGGCCGCACCGCCGTGCCACGATTGTTGGTAAGTGTGGGGCTGGGAGGGTCTCTGAGACTCGGTTGGGATGTGTATGAGCTTAATGCATTACTGCATTAGCTCTTGTTTAAGAGCAAGCGAGGTGTTATGTGACCCAAAGTCCCGTTTCGTGATCCAAAGGCACCAGCAAGCCCAGCGCTGTTCCTGCTTGTACTTTATGTGCCTGCTGGCTACGCTGAAGCTTTGGCTGAAATGATGGTATTCAGGCTTGCGTGAAGCATGTCTCCGTTACTGTTCAGTTGCTTGGCTGGCTGTTCAAAACATAATGCAACTCAAGTAGAGCTCTTTGTTTTTATTGATAAAATTCAAACAAGTCGGACAAGGAGACCTGACAGCAGTCTTTCAGTGTCTGAAGAGGGATTATGAGAAACGAGAGAGCACGCTTTAGCAGGGTCTGCAGTGATAGGACGAGGGGGAGTAGTTTTAGACTAAAAGAAGAGAAACTTATTTTGAATTTAAGAAAGAAGATTTTTTATGGTAAGGGTTGTTATGAGGCAGGTTGCCCAGAGGGGTGGTGGGTGCCCCATCCTTGGAGACATTCAGGGGAGCCTGGACCAGGCTCTGAGCAACATGAAGGAGCTGTGGGTGTCCCTGTTCACTGCAGCGGGGTTGGACTAGATGGCTTTTTAGGATCCCTTCTAACTCAAAGAATTCTAAGAAGCAGCGTAGCAGGAAACAGTTAAACTTGCTGAGAAGGGTAAGCTCTAAATGCTTTGCTTAATTACTCTTTAAGGAAGATGAAGGATTGATATTGCAGTGAAAAATTCTCTAGCAAGGGCAGAATGCTGCATGAAAACTCTTGACAGTGAAGTATCTAAAAGATACTTTGATGTGGAAATAAAATCATCTGATTAACAGATTCCTCTGAGTTTTGTACTTGCTGGTACTTGGTATTTTGGATCACATTACATATGGGCTGCTAAGTAGCTCTTGATCTTAATATAGAATTACAAGGATTAATGCAGTTTTTTTATTATGGTTTTCTTAGTTTCTGTGCTAACTCTTTATGTTCTCTTACCTAAAATTTGAATCGTTCACAGCTTTTGTCCCTGATACTTATGCCTGCTTGCTACCTAATTGTTATAGCTTAACTATACAGTTTTATTGATTTCTGAGCTTCTGGCCTTGTTGGTTTTGCTCCATTTCAAAGAGGAAGCAATCATCTTCAAACTAACAAATGTTACAGCTGTAGCAGTATGTGTGTGCTGTTAATGAGCTCTCCATATCTGCAAAATAGCAGAACACAATGTCTGTTGAATACTGTGGGCAATGTCTTTACTGCAATTTTGTTAGAATCTGTAAAGCTGGACAGCATGTATAATGTGGGAAAAGATTTGTTCAGTGGTGACACCTATGTCCTGAAAATGAATTTGTGTAGCCATGTTCTCAAGATTAACTTTGTTGGTACTTGCTTGTTGGTCTAGGCACTGTATTCCGTGGCGTGTGTTTTCTTGGAGGCTTTTATGGTTGTTCAGAGCCTGGTTTTTGTATCTGGAATACTTGTAATCATCTTGCTCTCTTCTTAAGGAGCCTCTCTGTTCCTTACACACTAAGTCTTGTGGAGAAGCTATTCTAAGGAGCTCTTATACATAACAATGTAAATATTTAAAGAATATCTGTTGTCTGCTCTGGAAGAAATCTGATCTGTTTGTGATACTAAATGATGTCGGACTCGTACAAAGGCATCCTTGAATGCAACAGCTTTGTAAGGTCAGGAGTTTACAGTTACTACCTGTGTAAATTATTTAAACTATCATTCTTTGTTAGGGATAATGTGTGTTTGTCAGGGATAGCTCCTCAATTTTTCCCCACTTTGATTAGTTTAAATTAGGAAGAAGTTTAGAAAGTTATATCCTTAGTTACTCAGTTTTCAGCTTCTCTTGAGCATGGCTTAGTTTGAGTTTAGTTATCACTTAAAATAACAAAGGAATTAATTTGGTTAAAAAAGGAACTTTGAGAAATGAGCTTCAGGAAATTTGCTGTGGCAATTCCAAGTGTTACTGCTTTCTGATGACATGGAGACAAGTTACCAGTAGAGAACATCTGTGACAATCTCTAGAGGAGAGGTTGGTATTTTATTAATCACCGTCTTCTGCCCTTTGACGTAGCACAGACATTAGTCCTCTATTCAGTCTGTTTCCCTCCCTCCCCCTTGGCAAATGTCTGTGAGAAGAGTTGATGAGTTGGGCCCTATCTGTGGAGGTTGCTGTCCAGTACAGGACAAGTGACATGTTGGACTATGGGATGCCAAGATGGGCTCGGAGTGATTTGCTGCTGCACAGTCCTGGTTTCCTTGCAAAAGGCTTGGTTTCAATAGTTCTTGTAATACACAACTAGAATACTGTGTTATTTTCCCCCAGGTTTACATCTCCTTGAGGAAATTTTCCCTATATTACCAATCAAGCACACCTGGGTATTTGTGAAAAAATTATCCCACAAATAGATTTGCCTTTTCCCAAGGGAGAAGTAACCCCCATGCTGCCTTTCCCAGCCACTAGCAAGCTCTAGTCTCTGATCTACATTAAAGTAAGCAAGCTCTGTGACCAGCACAAGAGCCTGCTGATAACAGTAATGAAGGCTGCTCTGAAAATAGTGCCTTCTGTTTTTTTTGTGTTGGCCCATAACATCAGGGGTAGATCTTGGTGGAATGGCAGTAGAGGTTGAACCTTCCCGCCAGTGTTCTGTTACATGTTGTTGCTGTGTGATGGGTGGCAGCAGAGGGACAGTCTAATAAAATAGCGCTGGACATAAAAGTGCACATGAAGCAAAGGGGTGCCACTGAATTCCTCCACGCAGAGAACATTGTACCCACTGACGTTCACTGATGCTTGCTGTAAGTTTACGAACACCAACCAGTGGATGTCAGCACAATGAGGCATAGCTAATGGTGGTGACTATGTTGAAAAGGAGTGCTTTCTAGATGACATTTAGCTCTTCCAAGCAGTGTTACAGTGCTCTTTGTATCTGTTGTAATTTCCATGCAAATAAAGAAACATTACTTTTGGAGTGACCTACGTATAATATGTTGAGCTTAAAACTATTCTTCTTCCGATGGCAAGACAGAGTGGGAAAGAGAAAAATCTTGATGCCACATGAGTACTGTTCAGCAACTGAGGTATCAGCATCATTTTAGCAAAAAATATGAAGCTCAGCACCATGCTATGAAGAAAATACACGTCGTCCCAGCCAGAGCCAGTAGAGCACACCAGGAGGAGCATAGTGACTTTGAAGCTGTGTACTAACATTTGTCTAGGCTTGCCAATGAAGGACTTTCCATGAACATTTTTATACTGCTATTATTTGTAGTAGTACTGTTGTAGCTGAGGTGACTGAGGGCCTTTAGTAGCTTTTGCATCTTTGGGTGTTTGCATGATTTGTGTAAGCCACACTGTTTTTATTAGACATACATGCAGTCAGGCAGTCATTCCCCATATTTTATTCCACGGAGTAGCATCAAAAGGAATGTTCTGTTTATTTTTCTCACACTTGCAGGATAGAAAATGGAATTGTATAATGACAGATACTTGATTCTACTCTTTAATTTCATGAAAAGTAGTATACTAAGTTGCCTATTTCTCAAAGTACCCTCTAGAGAACCCAGTTTCCTTGATGCGTAAAAGATACTGATGGTAAATGAATATATGTAGTGGGTATGACATTTTGTTTGCATTTGATGTCTTATTGTGTTACATTCTTAGGCCGTACCTGTGCTTGAATTTGGCTGTTATTGCATAGCCAGGGGCACTGTGCAATGCAATGGCTAAACAAGCACTGGAATTTCATAGCTTGATATGTTGTGCTGCTCTAGCTTGCTGTTTTCCTGATGTGCACAGGTCTTGCATTATTATTTTGTGTAAGTGCTGTGGTATTGCTACCCAGATGCCCCAAACAGGGGCAAACAAAGTGCGAAAAGGGTGAAAGACACAGTGGGACTTTGTTGGGGTTGAGTAACATTGAATAAACAGGTTGCTGCTGTGTGCTGTGCATGCAGATGGTTTGTCTTGGTTACACGTTGGGACTAACTGCATTTGTTTTTCTTGCTAGGGGTTACAGGTCAATACCTGGGTCTCTGTGGTCTCCCAGTCTTCCTGCATTGGTCTGACCTGTTCATGTTATTTCTGTAGCTTTCAAGGCTCTGAATGGCCAGTGAAGAGAGATGTTCAACCTAATGGCCAATTGTTGCACCTGGTTAAAACGGTGGCAGGAGCCTGTCAGGTAAACACATGAAAGTATTTATTTACACTTCTGTGCTGACCTTCTTCCCAAACTTTATTTCACATAATCTCACCAGTGTTTTACTTTAATTCCTAGTATTTTTTTTTTCCAGTTCCAATATATTTTTAACTCCAAGTGATAATCAATGTATATTCTGAACTTACAAATTACATGTACACTCATAATGAAGGTACTTTGTTTCTGACTGAAAATATAAAGTTCAAAATTTGTTGCATAAAGTTTCTTATGGGGAGATGCTAGAATGTTTATGTAAAATTTAATCGATTTGATTTCTGCATTTAGAGATTATAAAGTGTAGTTTGTTAAAATACTGTCAAGAATATAATGTAACCCCAGTGTAATTCTTGTCCCTTCTTTTAAGTATCTTAATGCTGCATTTTGTGATCAACTTCATGATCCATTCCTGCTTCTAGAATGTAACTGTTTTTCCTTTTATGTTAGTTTTATTTTGACACAGTACATTCTTTTTGCTCCAGTTAGCAAAGATGCATAGACTTTATTTCAACTGCTTACAAATTGGGAAGAAGGGAAATAAGGAGTACAGCACTATTTTTTCTTTCTTTCTTTTTTTTTTTTTTTTTTTTTAACTTCATTCATGTATGAGGATTTGATCTTGTGTGCTTGAGAAGTTGAGGTTTTGCTGACTGTGCTGCTGCTTAAAGGAGTATACTGAATTAAACAGCTTTTTGATACAAGTTATTTGTAGACAGTTGTAAGTTCATGGCTGTTCCAGTTATGGCATATGTTTAAAGTATAATTTAATAGGATCCCATTGTTCATTTTTTGGGTTTCTCAGAGCTTTTTGCCTCTTCTCAAAAACTGTAGATAAATTATACTTCGTGTATGATGTTATTATAGTTTCAAGACTAGAAATAGTGATGCATTTAGTGTTATTTCACTTAGGAGCATAAAGTTCAGCAAATTTCTTTTACTTGTTTGAGTATTTGTGAATTGGAGGAATAATCAAGGTCTACTCATAAGTATCTTTTTCCTATAGCTGTATTTAAAATCTTGTCCTACTACAAATTCTAGTCTGTGCAGTAATTTGACTATACAGAGTATATTAGTAACACCACTGATTTGCACATTTGCAGCTTCAATTGTTCCTGCTTGGGGGAAAAAAGAAGACACAATGAGTACCAGAGCCACTTAGCTTATAGTGTCCTATGTTGTCAACCTACTTTTTAAATTCTTTTATGGTGTTGTGCAGTTTCACTGGTTGATACAGAAATTGTAGTCTTGCTTATAGCAGCAGTTTTGTCTGAGACAGAGATGATAAAAATTCAAGGAGTGGAAACTAACTTGAAGAAACTACTAAAGAGATAAACACTATGAAGAAAAAGAATCTACAGTACCATGAAATTAAAATTTAGTGGGCAAATATGATTTGTCCTTTATAACTGTACCTTGTTATAGTTTGACAAATCCAACAGCAGATACACAAATGTAACAATGTTTGCAAATTAGATATTTTGAGATTTATTCTTTCTACTACTTTGTGGGAAGTTTGATAAGTTTCTTAAAAAAAAAATAAGCACATTAAAAAAAGTGATGTTTGGCAAGAGAAGAAAAGGGCTTGAAATATCTTTCTCTTTTTTTTCATTCTTTTTGGAGGAAGGTGACATTAATAATGGTGGGTCTTGATAATGCTGGGAAAACTGCTACAGTCCGAGGAATTCAAGGAGGTAAGCAGTTAATTTATCATCTAAATGTATTGTTGAAATTGTATAATTACTTGCTTTGTATCATTTTTATCTAATGTATTTCATCATCTCTTGATTTATCTTTTCCTCTCCTTGTACGTTGTTGAAATTAAATTTTTGCTGATTATGCACTTCTCTAGGAGTCTGGTAGCAAAAGTGAACAAGTTGCAGGCTCCATTACACGGAAGGGAAAAATTAAATGGTCTTGTATGGAGAAATAAAGATCTTGATTTTTGATATCTGGCACATCATGCTGGGGTGACCTTAAAAAAGTAGGTGCTTCTAGTCATGTACGCTATGCTCAGGGGAAGTAGTAGAGCAAGCTCTGCTTTTTGTCCGCTGTAGTTAAGAAAATGTTGAGTTGAAAATAGTGTAGCTTAACACACCAGCAGCAGCTGACAAGCAGAATTGCTACTGTTCAAGAGTAAGAGTATATTATAGAGGTGAGGTGAATATAATGGAGAGAGCTGCCTCGTAATACGTTGATCCATGCAGCACTAGAGCCTTTGATCCACTCACACAGAAAACTAATCCTCAGAGACATTTTTAATTATTTTAGAAAGTAACTTACTTTAGAAAGTAACTTTAGAAAGAAAGTACTTACTTTTAGTAAGTACCTTAGTACTTACTTGCTTGAGTACACCCCTGTATTGTTATTGTAATGCGAATTTGCACCAAAATCTCTTCTGGGTAAGGGTTCTAGTTTTGATTTAACAAGCATCATAGAATGTTTTTGAGTGGGAAGAATTTTTGGGGGGTATTTCAACAAAGAGCTGAAAGAACATTGTTGCTTGATTTAAATAGAAGAAAGTATAGGAGAAAGACTCAAGTCTGTAGGTAATGTTCAAATTCACAGTAAGTTTGAATTAACATTAAGAAGGAGAATATTATGGTTAATGGAGTGTTTCACATCTCAGCCTAGACTGGAAAAATTGGTGGACTGTGTTTTTTTCATGCTATATGTGCAGAAGTAGCTTTCTGGTGATCATCCAGTAACATGCAAGTATCAGTAAACTTTGTATAACACCAGTGTTCCAAGTCATATAGAATCACTATAGTTTGGTATCACTATATAAGGTTGGAAAAGACCTCTAAGATCTTGTATTCCAACTGCCAACCCTTCACCACCATGACCACTAACCATGTCCCTCATTGCCACATCTACATGTTTCTTGGAAATCTTCAGGTACAGTGACTCTGCACTTCCCTAGACAGCCTATTCCAATGCATTGCCACTACTTCTAAGAAGTTTTTCCTAGTATGCAACCTGAACCTTCCCTGGTACAACTTGAGACCATCACCGCTTGGCCTGTCACTGTTGCTTGAGAGAAGAGGCTGACTCTCACCTCGCCACAACTTCCTTTTAGGCAGTTGTAGAGAACAATGAGATCTCCCTGAACATCCTCTTCTCCAGGCTGAGCAATCTCAGTTCCCTCAGCTGCTGCCCGTAAGATGTATGCTACAGACCCTTCACAGTTTTGTTTCTCCTCTTTGGACACATTCCAGGGCATCGTTGTCTTTCTTGTAGTGAGGGCTGTGAACTGAACACAGTACTTGGGGTAAGGCCTCATCAGTTAAGAGTACAGAAGGACAATCAACTCCCTGCTCCTGTTGCTACACTATTCCCTTACAAGCCTGCATGCCATTGGCCTTCCTCACCACCTGGGCACACTGCTGGGTTGTGTTCAGCTGGCTGTTAATTAACTAACACTCTTCAATCCTTTTCCTCCCTGCAGCTTTCTAGCCGCTTTGCCCCAGATCTTTAGTGTTGCCTGGGATTATTATGACCAATGTGCAGGACCCAGCATGTGGTCTTATTGAACCTCATACAATTGGCCTAGCCTACTCATCCAATTCCTGCTGTAGTGTTTTCCTACTCTCAAGCAGATTAACACTTCCTCCCAACTTGGTGTTATCTGCAAACTTATTGAGGGTTCACTCAATCCCCACATCCAGATCACTAGTTAAGATATTGAACAGGACAGGCCCCAGTACTGACCCTGGGGAACACTGCTACTGACTGCTCACCAGCTAGATTTAACTCCTTTCAGTCCCGTCTGAGCCCTGCTGTTCAGTCAGTTTTTTACTCAGTGAAGAGTACACACCATGATCTGCCAGCTTCTCCATGAGAATATTGTGGGAGATGGAGTTGGAGGCTTTGCTAAAGTCTAGGTGGACTGTGTCGACAGCTTTTCCCTCATCCACCAGGCTGGTCATCATAGAAAGAGATAAGTTTGTTTAGACATAACCTCCCTTTCATGAACTCATGCTGGCTGGGCCTGATCCCTTGGTTGTCCTGCACATGCTGTGTGATCTCTGATAAGAAAATAGGAAAAAAATAGAAAAAATGAAAGTGTATGTGTATAACATAGGAATGGTTTTAGTGATATATATTTTATACACTTTCTTTTTTGTTTCCAGAAAAATATAGCAGTTTTGTGTAGGCACTTTCTTCCTTAAGAGACCACTTGATTTTGGAGGGTACTTTGCATTGCCCAATATCACTTTCAAGCAGGAAAAGATCTGAGATAAAAATTGTGCTTATGAAAATAAATAGTCTCTAAGGTGTTTTTTACTTATGAGATTGAAGTTTTTTTTTACTAACTTCCATCTCATTTACACAAAATACTGCTGAAAATTGTTTTGACAGACTTTGCATTTACTTTGTTTACACTTGTTATGTAAGTTCAGTGACTTGCTCAATTCTGATTAAAGTTAGGAATAATGTATTAGGGTTCTCTCATTTGTGTTCCTGAATCTTTACTGTGAAAATATGAGTACATTATTTAGCCTTCAATTCTGTTTCAAGATCAACTTTAATGTCTTTATCAGCTAAAAATTATTGTTATTTCTGAAAGTTCTTTTTTTTGGGGAGGGAGGAAAAAAGAAGATACAAATATTTCTAAAGAGAGGCTCCATAAAAAAGGTAGTTCTGACTTCTGTGACTATTTCACAGGACTTGAATAGTGTTTGTTTTAAGGAAAAGAATAAAATTGTTCTCTAACAGAACTTGCAGAGGTTAGAACCTTCAAGTGTGTGTGTTGTTTGTTTGTTTGTTTCAAGCTTGGTAAAAACAGGATCATCACCAACAGTTACGATTGGTGGGTTTTAGCAGAAACCATCTCCAAACGTATTTTGGTTCTTAAATGTGGGCAAATCAGCTAGTCAGCAGTTATATTTGCCAAAATGGATTTGCAGCTTATACAGCAGATGCTGTTTTTTCACGCAGACTGTTTACTGTTGAATCTTGCAGTACAACAGGACTGAATGTTTCAAACTTAAATATCATCTTAAATTCTGCATGATTAGTGACTTTCGTCCTTAGCAAGCCTTCATGCTCTCAATGTTCTCTTGTACAGGCAAGTACAGTAAATACAAAGACTGAATTTTGAAGTTGGAATCTTTCACAAACAGGTGTTCCATTCTGTTGTTGGAGTGTTGGCCTAAGCTGCTCTGGCAAAGGGTCTGTCTATTCTGAATCCTCATGTGGAGTGTGATGAGCACATTCTCACTCGGAAGGCTTCCCAGGTCATAATACATTGACTGTTTTGTTTTGCTTCTCAGACTCGGTTTAATACCATACATCTGCTGTATGCTATTCTGTGCTGTTTGGATGGGTGCACCTGGGATGGAATGGGTCTGTTATTAAAACAAAAAAACACAGTTCCCTTCAAAAGTAGTGTTAAATATTAAAGAATGCGTTTTTTGCTTTTTGTTTTTTTCTTCCTTGGTGCTTCTACCTCAATTGATGTAAAATAATTGATTGTGAGTATGTGTTAATATAAAATTTCCTGAGAAGAAGTAAAATATTAATGTTAAATATGTAGTTAGCAACATGCTGTCAAGTAACATTGAAAGCTTGCCCCATGTGTTTAAAATTTTTTTTTTTCCTGCAGAAATTAGAATGTAAAATTCTCTTTAAATGACTGAGGAAATTTCAGTAAAAAGTTCTTCTGTGATCTCTCTGACAGAGTCTCCTGAAGACGTAGCTCCAACAGTTGGGTTTTCCAAGATTGACCTTAAACAGGGACGCTTTGAAGTCACCATTTTTGATTTAGGAGGTGGAAAACGAATTCGGAACATATGGAGAAATTACTATGCTGAGTCATATGGTGTAATATTTGTTGTGGATTCTAGTGACATTGAAAGAATGGAAGAAACAAAGGAAGCCATGTCTGAAGTTTTAAACAGCCCTAAGATATCAGGGAAACCCGTGTTAGTGTAAGTAATGTTTATAAATGTTTTGTTTGTAATCTGAAATGTTGTAGATTTTGACCATTTTGACCTTCAGTATACCTTCTGATGAAGTATATGTGAATAGTGTAAATATAATGTACAATAACAGTATATTTTAGCATTAAGCAATATTGCGATTAGTTGTATGGTTTTTCTGAAGTATTTGCTTATAATAATTAACAGAGCCTTTTCTTTTTTTCCTTTCTTGTTTCCTGCTTTCCCTCTTGAAGTGTATGTGGTTTCACATTCACTGCATCTGACTTCCTAGTCTTTTTCAGGGATATTTCTTTATCTTCTCTTTCAGCATTCATAAAAATGCACTGAATTTTTAAATTATTTTCTTAACTCTTGAAAATTTAAGTAATACTTCAAATGATACGGTAGGTTAAAGGCTGCGCAAATATGAAATTACAACTTCTTGTAAGAATGTTGTTACTAAAGGCTGTGGGGAGACCTCATTGCAGCTTTCCAGTGTTTAAAGGAAGTTCACAAACACGAAGGAAATCAACATTTTACAAGGGTTGATAGTGAAAGGAAAGGGGAAATGGTTTTAAACTAAAGGAAGAGAGATTTAGATGAGGTGTCAGTACGAAGTTTTTTACTGAGAGAGTGGTGAGATCTGAAACAGGCTGCCCAGAGAGACTGTGGATGCTGTCTGTGGAGGTGTTTAAAGCAAGATAAAATGGGGCCCTGGGCAATCTGTTGTAGCACTTGATCTAGTGTCTGGTAACCGTGCATGTGGCAGGGAACTTGGTGATCCTTGAGGTCCTTTCCAACCCAAGCCATTCTCTAATTCTATTTTGACCTACATCCATTCCGTAAATTGTAAACGATTGTTTATATTCTGCAATGCCAGTAAAGATTCAGTAATTAATATCTTGTTCACCTAACACGTGGTGCTGCTGATGATGCATGATCAGTAATATCTCATTAAAGAAAACTTATTTCATTAGTATTTGGTATTTGCTTTTGCTTTGGTGTGTGTGTTTTAAGTTTAATTGGTGGGAAATTTTGTTTGAAGTTTCAAAAGGTCTAGATATTCTTTCACAAAATAGAGAAAAAGTCATTAATTTATCTCCTTAAAAACTATCTTTTGTGATACACTGGAAGTAATATT